CATTCAGAATCCACAGGTCAGGGATATTTGTTGGTTTTGTTTACTAATGCATCTCAGGTCCTAGGAAAACACCCAGCAAACTATAGGCATTCAGCAAAGACTTGTAGCTAAATGTAGATAACTTTGTTTTCAACTACCTTAATATATTTTCTTGCCTATTGCTACCTCAGGAATGTTCCTGGTATCTGCATATGTCCACCTCGGGTTTACTTGTTCGGTTTTTTATTAAAACTTTTAAAACTTAATAAGTTGTTTAAAAATATATAGCATGCATGCATAAAACTGCATTAAATATACATGTATGTATTAATAACTAATGATAGAATTAATACCCACCTCAGCACCATTCCAAGTTGAGATCTGAAAATTTACCAGTATTCCAGAAACCCTCTGCACCCCTTCCAGACCTCAAGGATTGTCTCCTGCCTGGAGGCAACAGCTATTCTGGTGTTTATAGTAATTATTTCCTTGGGTCTTTTTTGTAGTGTTACTTAGGCGTATGCAAGTCTAAACAACTTCTATTACTCCACTTTTTAGTCTCCACAAGTGTGAAACGTTTATATTTATCCTAGAATTCACAACTTGTCAGAATCTAAGCATATTGAAACCCTTACCCTTCTGTATAAAAAAAGGCAAGAATATTAGAATCCATTCGTTTTCTTTCTCCCTCTTCGGACATATACACTATTGTTTCCTGGTATTTCAATTCTGTCTTGTTGGGGGTATTTCTTAATCCCATTGTATATCATTGTTTATATATTATTTTCTATATTTTTAAAATATACTTTATTTTATATATTATTGCTTTGTACAATGTTTATTTACACTTGCTGTATATTTACCAGGCTCTTCATTTTTCATCCTTTCTTGCACTCAAACTTTTCCTCTGAGATCACTTTCCTTTTTTTTTTTTTTCAACGTTTATTTATTTTTGGGACAGAGAGAGACAGAGCATGAACGGGGGAGGGGCAGAGAGAGAGGGAGACACAGAATCGGAAACAGGCTCCAAGCTCTGAGCCATCAGCCCAGAGCCCGACGCGGGGCTCGAACTCACGGACGACCGCGAGATCATGACCTGGCTGAAGTCGGACGCCCAACCGACTGCGCCACCCAGGCGCCCCGATCACTTTCCTTCTGACTGAAGGAAAATCCTTTAGTATTTGCTTTCACAAGCAAATGTGGGTGACCAATGCTCTTTTAGTTTGTCTTTAATGTCATTATTTTGCTATCTTTTTTCTCTGGCTTTTAAGATTCTTTCTTAATTCCCTCTTGAATTTTGATAGTTTCACTATAATGTGTGTAGGTGTGGATTTCTCCTTACCTTGCTGTGGGAAAATAGGTTCTCCTTACATAAATGGGTTAGAAAAAAGCTTAGGGCAGAAAGCCACCACCAGGAGACGAAAGCACCGGAGGTTAGCTAGCGCGATATTGTAACGGGATCACAAGTAACTTGTTATAACACATGCAGGAAATTACTTTCCATCTAGCCCAAACGTACCTTGATCACACACTCCACTTGCCCCCAGACCCTTTGCTTCTTACACCAGTTAATGATTACCGTGTAACTGTTTTCTCCGCGTTCACGTGTGTAAGATCTTGTTTTCCCCACGTTCACCAGGTGGGTAACATTTTGTGAGCTCAATAAATACGGAGCTGAAGCCGCTGCCCATGGCTCTTGTCCCCTCCTGGACATCAGTCTCTGTCATATTCAATTCTGTGTCCGCTCTCTTGCTGGACAAGAAAGAACTCCCGACTCCCTGCTCTGCAACACCTTACTTAGGAATTTCTGTGTATCTTAGGCTGGGCCTTTATCAGTAAAATGTGGATAACAATCCTTGTTTTGAGGATTATTATTTAGTGTAGCCACCTTCACTAATGATCTTAGCCAGATCTTCTGGATAATTTGCTACGGCTTCTATGTCAACACCTGCTTCATCTTGCACTTTGCTATTATGGACATGGCTTCTCTCCATAAGCCTCATGTACCAACCTCTGGAGCAACTCTCCTGCAGCTTCCTCACCCCTCTCAGCCTTCACAGGATGGAAGGCAGTTAGGGCCTTCCTCTGGATTAGGCTTTGATTTAGGGAACGTTGTGGTTGATTTGATCTTCTATCCAGACCAAGAGAACTTTCTCCATATCGGCTTTAAGGCTGTTTCACTTTCTTATCATCCATCTGTTCTTTGGAGTAGCACTTTAATTTCCTTCGAGAACTTTTTCTCTGCATTGACAACTAGGCTGTTTGGTGCAAGAAGCCTAGCTTTTGGCCTATCTTGGCTTGCAACCTGCCTTCCTCACTAAGGTGAATCATTGCCAGCTTTTGATTTAAAGGGAGAGCTATGTGACCCATCTTTCACTTGAACACTTGGAGGCCAGTGTAGGGTTATTCACTGGACTAATTTCAATATTGTTGTGTCCCAGGGAATAGGGAGGCCCGAGGGGACAGAGAGACAAGGGGGAAGGGTCTCGTGGTAGAGCAGTCAGAACACACACGACATTTATAGACTAAGTTTCCTGTCATATGGTGCCATCTGTGGTACCCCAAAACGATTTTTTAAAGTGTTTATTTACTTATTTTGAGAGCGCGAGCAAGAAAGAGAGGGGGTATGGGAGAGGAGCAGAGAGAGGAGAGAACCCAAAGCAGGCTCCACGCTGTCAGCACGGAGCCTAATGCAGGGCTCAATGCCAGGCTTGATCTCATCAACTGTGAGATGGTGACCTGAGCCAAGATCAAGAGTTGGAGGCTTAGCCAACTGAGCCACCCACGTGCCCCTCAAAATAATTAGAACGGTGACATCAAAGATCACTGATCACAGATCACCGTAACAAATATAATAATAAAAGTTTGAACAGTTGTGAGAATTCCCAAAATGTGACACAGAGCTGCAAATAAGCAAATGCTGATGGACAAATGGTGCCTAAAGACTTGCGTAACCTAAGGTTGCCACAAACCTTCACTTTGTAAAAAATGAAAGATCTGCAAAGTGTAAGATGAGCACAGTAAGATGAGCTGTGCCTGTACGATTACACAGGGCTAATTAGGGGCCAACTTCACATGCCAAGTTCTAACATGAGTCTATATACCTAACAAGGGAAAGAGATAAAAAAAAAAAAAAAAAAGGCAGGAATTTTAAAGGTTTTATACATGGATGTATTTACATGAGAAGGCTGGATTACAGTACAACTGGCTTAAGTTTTTTTTCAATTTACATATAACCGTGTTTAGAGTACTCAGTCTGTGGAGACTTCCATTTATTTCTGTTTAGCTAGGACACATTACCAATATAGTTATCACTTATTGAGTACCCATTACATGCCTCATAAACATCTTGTGTACGTTGTTTAATTTGCTTTTCGTAACAATGCATTGAAGAGGTTTTATTACCAAATGGTGACAGATAAGGAAACTAGGGTTTCCTTCCAGAAATTTGAGGTACTTCTCTACATGATGAATGAGTGATAATCCTGGATTTACACCAGACATGTAAGATTGCAAACCCTGTACCTGTTAACACTACACAATTTTATTCCATCAGATAATCAATAATTTTATTTCACCCATTAATATTTAATGCTTAAGATCTTTAAAATATTTCTAAAGGTGTTTTATAAAATACAGCCATATGCTCTTTATTATTTTAAGATTTAATGTACTATATATCCTTAGGTGAGCTATGTCAACATTAAAACAATCTGCAATTAGCATTTATGACCACTTCAAAAGGGTTTTTGTGACTCTCTCTCTGCTACCCATTTGTGTGGGGGAAAAAAAACTGTATAATAAATTTTATTCTACCACATTTGTACTAGTAATGAATTGTTGCTTAAGTGGAAAGAAAAACAGAAACAGCAAGAGAAGAGAATGCAATTAAAAACAAAAATAGCAGACGATCATATGTACATAAAAGACTTAAATATTTCTTCAAAAACTTACTGACAGTCTTTTGCTTGTTTCATACCCATGGAACTTTCTCTGTATTTCTTGTCCATGCTCAGGTCCTGAATATGTGGAAAGAAACTCTAGCATTTGTCATTTTATACTGGAATTTATAGGTTTGTATGTGCAAAGAGCTGCATTTAATTGGATATCAATTGTTACAAAGGATCTAAAGAGGTATGGATTAAGTGAGCAGATTAAGTGGACCAGACATCATCCCATACACTGGATACACCCCTACAAAACAGATCTGCTGGTTTTTACTTCCTTAGACTCCATGCTATTTGGGGACTCAAACTCCTTCCCCACTACCTCCAAAGAAAAGATTTAAAATGTCATTTTCTCTCTGTCTCAAGATTAAATACTACTTCAAATGTACACAAAGTACGGAAGGTAAGGTTTAAGTTTCAAAAGCTTAAACATATAATAGACGCCCAAGTATAAGCCACCCCCAAAATATTTATATTATTCATGGAAAATTCTAAAAGAAGCTGAACAAAGAGCAAGCAATTAACAATTTTTTGGACTTGAATTAGAACTCTAATCACATTAATAATTCATCCTAATATCTAAAATTACTAAAGGATATTCATTTTTTTTAATGTTTATTATTTTTGAGACAGAGACAGAGAGCAAGCAGGGGAGGGGCAGAGAGAGAGGGAGACACAGAATCGGAAGCAGGCTCCAGGCTCCGAGCTCCGAGCTGCCAGCACAGAGCCCAATGCGGGGCTCGAACCCGTGATCCGTGAGATCATGACCTGAGTCGAAGTCAGCCGCTCAACCCACTGAGCCACCCAGGCGCCCCCAAAGGATATTCATTTCAAAGTATCTGTATATTGAGATAATTAGTATTTGAATAAGCACAACTTGTGGGATATAATCGTATCATAACCTCATTTTGTTTCCCTCTGCCTTTTGACATTTCTTGGAAGGAACATAGTCCTTTCTCTGCCCCTTTGTGACAGTTCAAGCAGTCTTAAAGACTTTTTTTTTTATTACTTTTAAGTAATTAATAAGCTGTCCCAGAATTACGTTCACTTGCCAAATACTGTTGCAACTCAGAAATCAGGATATTTGTGATACAAACTCTGAATGTGATGCAAAGTTAAATCCTTTTCTCACCCCCAGACAAGGTTGGCTGAAGAGGAGGGCAGCAGCGTGGAGGTAGAATGGCGTCAGCTGTTTCTCTCTTTTTCCACCCCTCTGGGAGAAGGCAACGCAAGGAGGGCAAAGAATTCTTGACCGGCACTGCTACAGAATGGCTTCACGCTTCTTGAGCTGGCACGTAATGGAACCTGACACCTTCCCTCTGTGACAATCAGCATGGGCTCTGCCTACGTTCCGCCGCCCACATTTCTGGGACATCTCAACCTATACCACCCACTTGATCCAGTAAACGAATCTCCACTCTGCTTGATTTCTCTCACAACTTACTTTGCTTTTTGTTTGTTTGTGTTTCATATTTAGAGAGAGAGAGAGAGAGAGTGAGAGAGAGAGCGTGTGACAGAAGAGAGGGGCAGAGAGAGAGAGGGAGAGACTCTTAAGCAGGCTCCACGCTTAGCGTGGAGCCAAACACAGGGCTCCATCCCACAGTCCTGGGATCACGTCCGGAGCTGAAATCAAGAGTCGACGCTCAACCCACTCAGCCACCCGGGTGCCTTTCCCACAACTTACTTTGAAATCCAATGTACCTTTTTGCAGGACTGCCATGACAAAGTACTACAAACTGAGTGGCTGAAACAAGAGAAATGTATTGTCTTATAGTTCTTGAGGCGGGGAGTTTCTCTGAGATCAACGTGTTGGCAGGGCTTGTTCCTTCTTAGTGATGTGAGGAAAAAACTGTTCCACGCCCCTCTCCTAGCTTCCAGTTGTGTGCTGGCAATCCTTGGTTTTCCTTAGGTTGGCATCACCTAGTCTCGGCTTCCATCTCCACTTGCTGGTGTGTGCACGCGTGCATGCAAATATCCCCTTTGTATAAGGGCATCAGTCATAATGGATTAGAGAGGCTCACCCTATACCAGTATGACTTTATCTTAACGAATTGCACCTGCAACAACCCTAGTTCCAAATAAGATCATATTCTGAGGTGCTGACTTCAACATACATATTGAGGGAGGACAGAATTCACCCCATAACATCCATTTTGCTTCACCTTTAAGTCTTGGCTGCCGCTGCCATTTTTAGTTCTATCTTTGTGAGGAAGTCACAGTGAGAATTATTACCTCAATTATCTAATTCATAAATCGAGGCAAAGTATAGGTAAGTACTCAGTAAAGATCAATAAACTTGTCATTACCTGAGTGCACATCAGAAAGAAGGAGAATTGTTTCAGCCCTCACTTAAAAGAGTTACCCTGTCCCACTCCACTGCATGGTCAAAATCTCATATGAATCTAGAATTGAAAATATGGTGGAAAACAAAGTTTTATCTCCTTCTTGACAAGCTGTAATACATGAGTCTCTAGGAAAACAAATTATGTATAACAATATATAATATACAGAAAAGCAGTAGTGGTGTTCAGTAATGCTCCGTGTTATCCTGAATAATGATGTAAGTGGAGAACACCAACTCCAGAGTCACACAGGACTTGGTTTGAATTACAGTTCTGCCATTTCAAGCTATCTACATTTGGTATAGTTCTTACTTCCCTTTTTAGTTTTTACTTTATTTTTACATCATACTTTTACTTCACTATCTACGTTATAATGGGGCATGCACACTATCATGTATTTAAATAATACCAAAGCATTGGGGCGCCTGGGTGGCGCAGTCGGTTAAGCGTCCGACTTCAGCCAGGTCACGATCTCGCAGTCCGTGAGTTCGAGCCCCGCGTCAGGCTCTGGGCTGATGGCTCAGAGCCTGGAGCCTGTTTCCGATTCTGTGTCTCCCTCTCTCTCTGCCCCTCCCCCGTTCATGCTCTGTCTCTCTCTATCCCAAAAATAAATAAACATTGAAAAAAAAAATTTTTTTAAATAAATAAATAATACCAAAGCATTAAAGTAAAATTAAAATCTTTCCCTCATCATAAATTTTCATGAATACTCCTCATACATAACCATGTTAATATTTTATGTATTTTATTCCAGGATTTTTTTCTAGGAACATAAATATATAGAAGGTAAATGAATTGATTTTCCCTCCCAAATTTTAATTATACTAAATATATAACACAATGCAACATGGTTTTTACTATGCATGGAATGCTGCCGACTTCTTTATAGTACAACATTTCATCTAGATCTATTTCATTCCTGTATTTGAGTGGATACATAGTATTCAACAGTATGGAAAAATGATAATTTATGAAGGCATTCACTGTTGTACTTTGGTTGTTTTGGATACTTCACTGTTACTAATAATGATACAATGAGCATCTTTGTACAAATATCCATATATATTTGTGTGACTATTTCTTTAGAGTAGATTTCTATTAAGTTGAATTGCTAGATTGAAGGGTATGTGCAGTCCCATTTTTAATGGGTTCTACCAAACTGACCTCTATTGAGTTTGTGTCAACAATGATATTAATCTTTTTACATTTTGCAAATCTGGTAGGTGAAAAAACATATCTCACTATAATTTAAATGTGTGTCTTTTTTATTTTTATTTTTTTTATTTATTTTTTATTTTTTTTTCAACGTTTTATTTATTTTTGGGACAGAGAGAGACAGAGCATGAACGGGGGAGGGGCAGAGAGAGAGGGAGACACAGAATCGGAAGCAGGCTCCAGGCTCTGAGCCATCAGCCCAGAGCCCGACGCGGGGCTCGAACTCACGGACCGCGAGATCGTGACCTGGCTGAAGTCGGACGCTTAACCGACTGAGCCACCCAGGCGCCCCATGTGTGTGTCTTTTTTAGAGAAACTGGCAATAGCAGTATCATATGGATATTGGCCATTTGTTATTTCTTCTGGTGTAAATCATCTGTTTACATACTTTGCCCACTTTTCTGTCATTTATTTATCTTATTTTTTTATTGTAACCAACTCTTTTTTTACATGGCTGTGAATCCTTTGTTTTTTCTTTCAGCATATTAATTGAGAACAAGGATTCTGAAGTCAAACTGATGGAATAAAATCCTACTTCTGCCACTTTTTAGTTGTGTGTTTTTGTACAAGTCCCTCAATCTCCCTGAGCCTATGTTCCTTCACATGCAAATACTGATATTAAGATATTGATACTTACCTCCTAAATTACTGTGAGGACTGACAGAGAAAGAGTATAATTTAAACTGCTTGAACAGTGCCTGGCACATAGCCATCACTCAATAAACACTAGCTCTTACTTTGTTTCAAAAGGCATGATTGTTTTTATATGAAATTTATCGTCAAATTGGTTTCCATACAACGCCCAGTGCTCATCCCAACAGGTGCCTTCCTCAATGCCCATCACCCACTTTCCCCTCCCTGCCACCCCCCATCAACCCTCAGTTTATTCCCAGTTATTAAGAGTCTCTTATGGTTTGGCTCCCCCCCTCTCTAACTTCAAAAGGCATGAATGATTGATAGCCTTAATAACGTTAATTTCCTCATCTATAAAATGGGATGAAAATACCTACGTCCTATCCTATGTTTCTTGTGGTGCTTATATAAGATAAAATAAGGGACTCAGAAACAGTAGTAGAATCTCAGAATATAGCAGCTCTTATTATCACTTTACCTAAAAATCATTATACAACAAAAAATAGCATCTCTTAGCCTCTGGCTATGTGCTAGTATTTGCAGCTGCTATTTAAATAATAGTGAGAACTTACATTTCTTGAGCACTTCATATATGTCAGGGAACAGACTAAGGGCTCCGTGCATGTAATTCCCAACACCTACAAGGTGGGTACTGGTGTTATCTCTATTTTATAGATGAAGACACTAGGGTGTATATATAAGTATTATCAACATGTGAACTTGGACAAGTGTAAATGGCAGAACAGAAATCAAAACCAGAAAATCTGACTCCAGAGTCTGTGACCTTGCCCACTATACTATGCTGATCACTCAGCAGAGATAGAACCTATAAGAGCTTTATCTTTCCTTTTAGAATAGATGAAGTATTCAATTTAGTAATTTTTTTTAGAGAGAGAGAGCACACAAGCAAGCAGGGAAGGGGCAGAGGGAGGGAAGACAGAGAAGGGGGGGAGGGGGGGCGGGGGGGAGAGAGGGAGAGAGGGAGGGAGGGAGGGGGAGAGAGAGAGAGAGAGAGAGAGAGAGAGAGAGAGAGAGAGAGAGAGACAGAGAGACAGAGAATCCTAAGCAGGCTCCATGCCTAGCTCAGAGCCTAACATGGGGCTCAATCTCACAACTGCGAGACGGATGCTTAACCGACTGAGCCACCCAGGTGCTCCTGGATTTAGTAATTTTTTAAAAAGAGGAATACAACACATTACATATTATTAGATTAAGTTTTCTGTGGTCATTGGTTGTCTATCCAATACAGAAATATAATAATAGTATTTCCAAGTTAATTTTTAGCCTCCTATAAAACTTTACATGGTTATCAATTATCTTTCCCATAATGATAAGTCCACCAAATATAAAAGGGGGAAATACGAGGGGGGGAATCAATAAATGTTTTAGTAAATAATATTTATTTAGAAGTAAATTTTTGAAAATAAAATTCTGAGTTTGATATTAATTGTTAAATAATCTACCTGTGTGTAAGATCTGAGGAGTCTTATGCTGTGTTAAAGTGCCACCTACAGCAAACATTGAAATATCTGCACAAAAGGTGTCTGCAGAATATTCCTCCCCATGTTTATTTCCACAGCAACTCCTTACGTGAAGTCCCGCTCCATCAGCCACGGTCCATTTTTACTCCGTGGTTATTTCCATTCATTATTAACAGCTTTTGGAATGCAGGGACTATTTTTGAAAGGAAATGAGCCAGTCAGATATATCTGGAGGCTTCACAGATGGCATTTTTTAGAATAGTTTTGTTTTCATTTTGCTATTGAAAAGTCCTTTTAGACCCCTTTGCAACATGCAATAATGCGCTCACATTAACTGATACATGATGCGTGCTTCTGCTATTTTTCCTCTGCTTCGCTTGGCAATTAAACACATGATTTCCCTGCAAATGACTATAATTTTTTGCTTCCATAATATTTATGTCAACTCCAGAGGAGCTGGGAGTTGGCATCCTGAAAACCTGACCATTTGAGGCAATGGCAGCAGCTTGTAATTTCATCTGTATCCACTAATTACTGGATGATCAGAACACCAGAAATAAAAAAATCATATGCTGAAAAACCATAATGCGTGCCCTCAGCTGGCTAAATCAGTAATTTGAAGCCATGTGCAAATGAGCACATAACTTTCTGAGTGATTTATTGCTGTTTGGGGAATACATACCGAGCTTTGAAAATATTTCATTTGACCTAAACTACAAACTTCAAGCTGTGTGTGACTGAAAGCACCATGCAGAT